GCGTGGAGGAGGAGGAGGTCCTGTGTGGAGGAGGAGGAGGCCCTGCGGGGAGGAGGAGGAGGTCCTGTGTGGAGGAGGAGGAGGTCCTGTGTGGAGGAGGAGGAGGCCCTGCGTGGAGGTGGCCCTGCGTGGAGGAGGAGGTCCTGTGTGGAGGAGGAGAAGGTCCTGCGTGGAGGAGGCCCTGCGTGGTGCGGGTGGGGAAGACCCCGCCACTGGGAGCTTAGCCACACATGACCATGCAGTAAGGACAACACAAAGTGGACTTTGTTTGGGAGGGGGTCACAAGGGCATGGCAGTGGGGGGTGTCAGAAAACGGGGCAGATGTGGAGGGGAGTGAGTGTGATCTGAGTGTGCAATGTGAAAATCCAAAGGCTCAATAGAATATTACTTTGAAGAATGAAAAGCACACTTTGTATTACGCGGTGATGGGTGTGAGCAGACAAGGAGACACCGTCTCCCTGGAGCTGGGAGCTGCACGCGGAGCCTGCTCACCTGCCGACACGGGTGAAGATGGTGCGGCAGCACGCCAGGCCGGGCGGGAAGCAGCCCAGGCTGTGGTCACAGAGAACGCCCTGGCCTACCAAGCGTGTTGCACATCTGTGGGTTTCCTCCCGGCCAGATAGAGGAGACCCTTTCTAGTCCACCCAACAGACCTGCCCTCAGCGCCACCTGTCTGTGGGCTGGCTACCACAGAGAGGCAGGCAGGAGGAGGGGCGGAGGGCAGCTCCCCTCCCCAGACTGACAGGTTTGTTTTTGAGGACTCTTTCTGGGGCTGGGAGAGAGATGGCCCAGGTTCAGCCCCCAGAACCGGCAAGGCAGCTTGCAATCATCCACAGATCCAGTGCAGGGAGCCGGGGACCCTTTTGGGGTTGCCAGCGTTGCATTCACTAGTCAGACAAACAGGCAGATCCATGCACATAAAATCCGCTTAGAGCCTCTGCACACAGCAGCTCAGTCCCGGCTGAAACGCCTAAGGAACGCAGAGCCTCTTTCCTCCTGCCTGGCTACCAGCTGATCAGAACCAAGTTTCAAAAAGCAGCTTCACTGCTGTCACGTTCGAGGGCATCCGCCCTGGATCTGTGCACCGCCCTCTTCACACCCGTGTCTGGGGTCTGAGCAGTCAGCGCTTTGTTTGGGTCCTAGTGTTAATTCAGTCCTGCTTCTCACACCTGATGAGAAGTGAAAGCACCAAGGCCCCGACTGCGATTATTGTAAGCAAAGCGGACTGTCTTTTCTATAAAGGGAAATAAGACAGGATTCCGTCTAAAAATTGTGAGGAAGCCTCGGGGCAGAAATTTAAGTCCGTTCCGGGTCAGCACTTCACAAAATCGAAATACGTACTCAAGTTTGTTCCTTTTTGATCCTCAGCTGTCTGTGTCAGCCACACACGTGGGCATGGCCACCCAGGCATGGAGTGAGGCCCAGGACCCGTGTGGAGTTAGTAATAAGGACCCAACAGGACCCCACGGTTGTGCCTGCCTGTTTGATTCCACAGAAGAATTTTTTTTTCTTCCTTAAAACCCTTTCTCACCCAGGCTCCTGGTAGAGTCCTACGAAGCCCCATCAGGAATCGCCACCCTTGTCAGCAGTCTCTGATTTGTTAATGGCAGCTTACAAACACCTCAGTGCAACTACCATCTCCCTTTACTGCTTCCTCACTGAGTGTTCAGGGATAAGAGAGGCTGAGGAAAGCGAGAGGGGGCTGAGGAAAGGCAGGGGTGGGGTTAGGTTTGCTTGAAAATGCCACGACACCTAATATTTGTGTGATAATTTAAAAACAAGTGAAAGACCTCTAGGCACCATGATGTTCCTTCATGAAGGAAGGTAAAGATGGGCTAGTGTGAGCTGAGTGTATGACGGCTCAGCTGGGTGTCAGCTGGGCACCCCCGTGAGGGGCCGCCTCAGCCCGGGCCTCAACTTCTGACGGCACCCGACATGGAAGGACACGGGGGAACAAAGCTTCTCTTTTGCTTTTTTGCGCTGGACCTACTTCTTGCTGGCAAATTCAACCATCCTGCGGCTGCTCAGTCACCAGAACCTACTTCTTTGGGCTTGCAACTCAGACTGAAGACTCTCTAGACCCCTGAGCGCCAGCCCCAGATCACGACTGTTGCGGCATCCAGTCTTGTGACTGAACAGCCACCAGATTCTTGGCCTTTCTGTCAGGAGACAGCCATTGCTGGGCCCCTCAGAACACTGCCTGTGCCCACGGCGATAACCCCGCACACGTACGGGAAAGTGACCAGCAGACAGCTTGTGTGGCACAGGAGGACTCCCAAGCTTGGCCTGGGCTTTCTGAGTCACTTCCACCTGAAACAAGGTGGTCTGAAACTGTCTAAGTTTAAAAACACAACACATTTTGGTTTACATATTCCCTGCAATTAGAATGTGGTTGTCATTTATTTTGGAGAAGCAAAGAGAGTGCCAAACCTTGAGTCCGAAGCTACCTTCTTCCTGGGGGTCCTGGAGCCCCCGTTTTAGTCAGGATTAGGGTACTTAAGGGACAGGAGCGAACATTAACATGACATACCTACCTAATAACTGAACTTTGGACTTTTTTTTTAAAGATTTATTTATTTATCATTTATACAGTATTCTGTCTGCATGCTCACCTGCACGCCAGAAGAGGCACTATAGAGCTCACTATAGATGGCTGTGAGCCACCATGTGGGTGCTGGGAACTGAAGTCAGGACCTCTGGAAGAGCAGCCGGTGCTCTTAAGCTCTGAGCCGTCTCTCCAGCCCCCAACTTGGACCTTTAAGCAAAGTACTTCGTAGTTTTAGAAATCGCGACTGTCACTCTTGGCTGACCCCCTCACCTAGGGCTAACTAAACACAGGTCCGAATTAGGACGGAATTTTGCATTTTCTCACTTTCTTGCACGTTCTGGTTTACTCAATTGTCAGTTTACTCTTGATCATAACTCACCCTTATTTCCATCCATGTTACACTGGAATTAAATACTTTTTTGTTCATTTTAACAGACGTAGTAACAGTGTGATTTATTTGTAGTTATAAGAACACTTTGGTGTAGATCTCTTTAAAAAGATTACTTCAGAATTAACGAAAATGGTCATTAAGAATTTCTAGGCTTTGCTTTTTATATATATAAAAACCAGTATTTAAATTTCACAGTGAAGAGGTCCTCAACTTTTATACAACATGAGGTTATGTAAAAATAGAAGACATGGACACCTTTAAATCTTTAATCCTTTAAGCAGCAAGCATATTACTCTTCCAGGCCAAACACTGCTCAAACAAAAAAGGGAAATAATGACGTGCAAAGTATTTACAAAATATGCAAAGCACACAATGAAGACGCCTGACTATGCACGTGTCCCATCACTAAGGAAACTACGACTTTTCTACTGCGTGCTCTAGTGTTGGCAAATACAGCCGCAACACATCCCTCCGACAAGCGCCCGGCCCACGTCTGGGACACACAGATTTTAAATGAACCACAGATACCGCACATCTGGACGGACGCTGGTGCTGACCAACTTGACTGACATTCCCCACAGACTGTACTGAAGGTTACCGACAGGAGACGAGACAACGGAAGCTGTCAAGGTATAATATGCACGCACACAAGACAAGGGCTTTGAAAATGCTCTAGACAGTTTAAGATACACAACCGTTTTTCATGGCTTTTAAAGTAAAAATAAGTATAAATTCTTTAATATTATTTTTAAATCAGTTACATTTTATCTGGGGCATAAACTATTAAGGTGATCCAGTAAGAATGGGCTCCTCCTGAAAGCCACCTTCAGTGTGGCAGGATGAAGGGTTCTAGGAAGGAACTCTGAAAATGGAGACTGACAATGAATTTAAACCCAGGGCTCCTTCAGGCTGCAGAGCCCAGAAAGGGACTGTTTTTCCAATAGCTGGGGAATAGATGGCACTTCTGATGTGGACAGCCTGTGGCCCTACCCAACTGTCCCTCTGCAATAAGCCCTGCTACAGGACGAGGTCACGCCACCAGGACCGCCGGTGACAGGGCGATGCAATGCTTCCGCCATAAGTGTTCTTCGTGGGCGCTAAAGACTTTAAGTCTCTGCTTTTTCATAAAAGTGGGTCTAAGTACTTTAGTTAATGGCACAATTATTGCAATAACACAACAAATTCTCAAGTTCATCTAGTGACGTGATGCTGATGATTTAGCCCTAAATCAAACCCCAAGCACACGGTGGCAAGCACACGTGTAGATGGACAGAGATTTATCAAGAAAAAAACACCCTTCCTGTTAAACACAGACCCTACCAGTGAGGGCTACTTGAAGTTCAGAAGAGAAATTGTAAATAAATGTTTCCATAACCACCGCCTCTACAGAACTGACAAAAGAATGTTCTGGATTCCCACACAGGCCGAGAGTAGCTAACGGCAAAAAGTGTTTAGAAACATTGTTTTCAAAACTAACATTTTCAAAGAACTTAAAAACATTATATGTCACCAAATTTTAAGTCCTTTTTCTGCATGTGATTCCAAACCTGTATTACTGAAAGATAACAGGGTCAATGACCTTTAAACAAGGACTTTACATAAGGACCCCAAACTGTGTTAAAGGATTAGCAGGTTCAATACATTCTTTGTGGTTTTATATAATTGCTTTGCAATTGATTTTAATTGCTTTCTTTTAAAGGAATATATTAGAGTTCCTTTAGAAAGAAAGCAACACATTTTGAAAAAAGGGATAAGAAGCTATAATTTCTTAAATATGAACATATCAAAATCTGAAATGCAGGCTATGTATTCTTGCACTCCTAACATAGGAAAGTGTGTGTGTGTATTTAAATTTAAATTAAAGAAAAAGCAAAGAGCTAAACACCCTTAAGGAACTTAAGGAGTTTTTACAATTTCTAAGTCAGTATTTCTGTACTAACAGCTTTGAGTAGGAAGAGCAGAAAAATAAGAAACCTCAACAAAATAAATACAGTAAAAACAAACAAACCTCCCCTGGTGTGTAGACTACTTTTCCTCCGTGAGCTCACACTAGTGAGGAGGCCAGCAGAGGGGGCCTGCTGGAGGGGTCAGCAGAGCTGTGTGATGGCTGATCTGCAGCCTCGGTGTCTGGGAAGGACTGGCTGTCCTCTTTTGGGTCAGTTGGACGAGCACTGGTTCAGTGATGGTGAGAGGCCTGCCACTCTGTCCAACTCGCTTAGTGCAGTGAGGGCTGTGAGTCTGTCTGGATCCCAATGAGTGAAGGTGGCTGCTGACCACCAGCCGTGCTCAGCACTGGCCTGGGGTTTAGGCGGGGCGGCATGGAGTTAGCAGGGCGGATGAGCGGTGGTGGAGGCTGGTTGAGAGCTGGCCGGGGCTGGCTGAAGCGAGCCTGCTGCTGGAGTGGAGGAGGCTGCCGGTGCAGAGCAGGGGCGGCAGGCGGTGTTGGGCGGAGAAGAGGTGGAGGCTGGGTCAGGGTGGCAATGGGGGCTGTTGGTGTTGGCGGGCATGGTGGGGCAGGAGGTGATGGACCCAGAGTCTGAGGAGCCTGTGGGGTCTGTGCCTAGAGGTGAGGAAACAAAAACACATGTATGAGATTTAAGTCCTAACAAACTTGCTACAATATAGTTTGGGCTGTCACAGGAAAAAAACCAAAATAAATAAAAACAAAACAAAGTAACGCCAGTGTTCATTGGAAGCGCAAGCTTCTTTTATTTTTAATAAAACAAAACAAAACAAAAAAAACCTACCTCCCACCCAAAAACAAAAAACAAAAAACCCAACAAGGCTACCAAACAGACATCTTTATTAGTAAACAGCTTAACAGTGGAGAAATACACTTTCCGCTCTGCTAGGACCAGAGTGGGCTGTCTATGACTTAGCAGTCACCAGAGAAGCGTCACTGAGGAAGTGGATTGCCAGCCTCATGCTCAGTTAGCTAGTCCTCACACATCACCCTTCCAGAGCGCCACACAGGGGCGGCTCCTCAGCTCAGAGCAGCTGCAGTTCCAGACACACACACACCTCCTCTTCTTCATCAGTGCTCTTCCCTGACGGCACGTGAGAAGCACTTTCTGTCTCCTCCCCTAAAGCGGAAGCATCAGCATTAGGAGCCTGGGTTCCTTGTTCTGCTTCCCACTCCTGCAATACCTCCTCTAAGTTAAACCGACGCCTGTAGTTTACAAAGAAGTTCTTCACTTGGCCAACAGTCTTGTTGCCAATTACATCTGCAATAGCTTGAAAATCTTTACCATATTTGCGGACACCTGGAAGGCAAAGCAGACACACACCTGTGAAGGGTCAGCAAGGAGAGCCGGGTACCACACACCATGCACACGCAAACACCAGCAGTCAACAGCCTTTCGGACACGCTCCGCTCGGGTCCCAGTGCTGAGACAGTCTAAGCTAGCGATCAAGGTCACAGATGAAAACCGTCAGTTTGTCATTTCATCAGCCAGCCGCTTGCCTTCGACTGAACAATCGGAAACTTACCAGTTTTTACATACTCAGTTATTTTCTCCAATCCTCTCTTGAACTCTCAAATACAGTCCATTTATTGTAAAGCATTGAATTCTTTGTTCCATCCTCAATTCCACATCCACTTATTGCCCTAGTAGCCAGTCACCTAAATTTGAGCAACACCGTTTGTAAACACAACTGGATGGAAGAAGCCATGTCTTTAACCCCTCAATGGACCTCGTGTGCCATATGGTTCCCCCACGATGCAAACAAAGCAAGTTAATTTGAGGCTTAACAGGAACTGCACCATAATTACCCGCCTACCCCACCAGGGCACCGACAAATGGAAATAATTCCTTTAGAAGCTCAGAATTATGGCAGCCTGAGGGGGCGTGGAAAGGAAGATTCATTTGGTCTATCTAACCGTGTGTGAAAACTCCTAAGTGCTTCTCTGGGAGAATCAGCCCCGAGCGCATCACCCGCCTTAGACGTCAGGACACCCCCACAGAACACACCGCTGAGGAGGAGAGGCAGTAGCTGGCTTAGGAAGTTGCGATCAACAATTGTCTTCAGAACTCAACACGGGTGATAACCTGCTTAGCTGAGTTCCAAAAGGAAATCAAGGGGGCATGTAGGAAGAGGTGTGCCTTGCTCAAGATACAATTCAAAGGTTTTTAGTTTATACTTTGATAACTGTACTCATATCGGAAAGTGGTCATTCATGAAAGAGATGAGAGAGACAAGAGGAGGCTTAAACCGCCACTCAGTGTAATCAAAGCCGAGGGTGTGGGGAAAGGCAGGTGCGGCTCAGAGCGCTGTTCTCGGAGTGCCGAGGCCAAGATGCCTCCACCGTGAGCGCGGCTCTGCCCTTCACTGCTGCTCGCTGCTCTCGCTCTGCACTGAGGCTCTGGGAACAAGCATCTCCGAGTACAGCTGCCCCGCCGGGCTGGGCTCGGGGGCGGTCACTGCTTTAGAGCTTTCTGGTGGGAAGCGAGACATCTCTCTAACGGAGCCTGGCTGTACACGCCATGTTCACGTGTGCTGCCCTACAGGAGAGACGGGCACGCCAGCACCGATGTCAGTACGGTGCTCAGTCAACACAAAGAAGCGCGCACTCTGCAAACCCAGACCGGTTCCGGGGGTCCCTCGCTACCTGACGGTCTGTATGGCAGCCGCAGCCAGGTTCCGGGTGACAGCTATGGTCACACTCCAGCAGCCCTCCACCAGGAGCTCCTCAGGAGGCAGCAGCTTTTAGAAGGTTCTGCGCCAACTCCGAACACACGCCTGAGCCGGCTGCACAGAGAGAGGCTGCCTGGAAGCCGCCTGGGCTTTCCACAAAGCTACTGAATTTCCAGTCTTTCCCTCGCTCTCCTAGAAGCTGATGGCCTCCCTTGGCACCAGGACTGTCCCGCTGCAAGGTTACAGACCCTCAGCTGACAAGGCCTCCGAGAGAGCGCGGCTTCTGAAGTGAGTGGTGCCAGCTTCCCCAGCTCACCCAGGCACGCCTGTGCTGCCCTCAGGCGAGGCCCTCTGGTTTGCGGCATGACCCCACCGGGGCCCTGAGAACACACAGACCCAGAACCCTTGCCCTGGCGGGGCCTGTCCTCTAGGGCGGGCGGTCCCCCGCCTGCTCCCGGGCCCTCACGGCTCCCGAGTGCGGGAAGAGCTGGGGAAGTGCAGAGCTCCAGTGTCTGCGCTGTGCTCGGAGAGTGGGGTTTTCTTTGCCATCGGCTTGCTTCTGTTCTTCCTCAAACTATGGGGCGCTGCTCACGGTGTCACGAAGTGTGTGTGCACGTGTGTGCGAGCGCGCAAGCTCAGATGTTGTTTCTCAGGTTCTAGCCATGTTGTGTTTTTAAGACAGGGTCTGTGTCCTGGAACCCACTGAGGAGGCGAGGCTGGCCAAAGCGTCCCTGGGGTCTGCCAGTCACTGCCCCCCAGCGCTGGGCCACAAGTGCGCACAGCCATACCTTAAACACAATCAAACAAGCCCCTGGTTCTAGGGACTGGACTGAGGCCCTTGTGCCTTGCACTTTAGTGAGTCACTTCCCTGGTCAATGGTGGGCTGCTCTGTCATCTCTGTACTCCTGGGAGCGCTCAACAGCCTTCTGGCTAGGAGATAAAACCCTCTAAAAACCTACACAAAGCCTTGGGCTTCGGCGTTCTGTCTAGAGGGGAGGCTCTGCGGGTCTACGCGAGGGTGAGCAGCGGGCTGGCGCCCTGCGGCAGCTTCTTCAGGAGCGCCTCAGTGCACAGATGAGGAGGGCTGACCTGAGTAAGGGCCACCGAACCCGCTCTGTGCCCTGGGGGAGGGCCATGCTCCTCACGTAGATCTACTGCTTTCTCAGCAGGGAGTTATTGCAGTGGCTGGGTCCACCACACGGCTGAAGCTCACCTGCAGGGGTCACCTCTAAAGGCCCGAGGCCAGTTTTCACGGACGACCTCCCAGAGACTCCTCCAGAGCTGAAGCTGGAAACCCCAGAGAGGAAAAGCCTCTTTTCAGCCACGCTTCTATTCTTGCAAGTAATTATCTTAAATACTTGATAGAATTTTTAAAATTTTGTCTGGGAATTAAGGAAAATGGAACCAGGGGACAGTCACCACCACGGTGTATGATGGCCCACGCTGTCCTGTCACTGTTCTCCACTGCCCGACATGTATGTACCTCTACACACACAGTTAAAACTTCCTTATCTGCGTTAAGGGTCATTTTCTTACTGGTAGAGAATGGCCGGCACCGCCTGAGGAAGCCCGTGCTGAGCCGGGGCTGGGTCCACTCACGCCTTAGGAGCACCCTCGGATGTTTCCTGACTGAGGTAGCACGGGCGGGCGCTGCTCTCGGTATTTACACAGCAGAGAGCCAGCACTCACAGAGGTGAGGGCCGAGAGCGGAACCTCCCGGACTCCGCCCATTCCTACGGCAGCTCTTAAGGGAGAGCTTTCAGCACTCAGGGTGCTCCGGGAGTACACTGAATCCCAGGGCTGTTTCTGAAACCAGAGCCCGGGGTCTAGAGACTCGAAGGTCGGCCTTTCCCATAGCTGAGACCCATACGGTAAACTCACATCCCTGGGGATACGGACTGCCAGCATCTTCACTAGCTCAGCGGACAGACAGGCGGGACTGGGCCCTGAGTCCAGAGCACGAGGCCTTCCGGCGTCCACCGCTTCTCTCTGCGCCCTGCACTCTCACGTGGAAAGTTCAATCCCACTCCTCCAACAACGGGGCCTTGGGTGGGTAACGATGTGACGTGCTCTACGGAGGCTGACGCCCTCTAAGATGTCCGCCCTCACGCCCGCTGTAACAGAAAGAACACCTCAAACCGAACGGGTGCCTGACGCCACAGGAGCACTGGCGCCTGGCTTCCACTCCCTGTGGCCCTCCATGTTCTAGATTTACTGTCTTTCCATTTTTTATCAGCGTTAAGCCGCCTGCCTTCTACTTTATAAACCACTCTAGGTTTGGGTTTTAGCCATGAGATAAATCTAAAAAGGCAATTTCCAGACTGCAACTTTGTTTCTCTTTAAAGGATGACACTGTAAGGTGCCGAAGAGAGGCAACTCTCCGCACAGGCTCCGGCCTGGACGCCCTGCTCTGCTCCCTGTTCTACACACCGTGGAGGGGAAATGAAACTGAAATCTAAGGCTAACATCTTGCTAAAATTTTGTTTTTCCTGAAATAGCCTGAAGATCAGAGAGCTACATCTTCTAAGCACCAGGAAACGAATACGCTTCTGAGTGGACTACAACAGCAACAGCAAACACTACACACCACATTCCTTCCGTGCGACCATGGAAACGTGTGTTTTCTGAGAACAGCCAACAACAGCTGCCTACGTGAAAAAGGCCATCCAGATGTGGGGCAAAGGGCACAAGAGCCGGCTCCTCTGGGCACTAACGATGTCCCACCTGGACGCCTGGAGAACCGCACCAAGACCATGGCAGAACTAGCATGACCACAAGGCAGAGACAGAAGCAGAGACAAGGTTCCCGCCAGACCTGACTGACCCGTTTCCACTTCCCACTAGGGGCGGAAGGAAGGAAAGTGCTCAAACGGCTGGCGCCCAGGCAACAGGAGGGAGTGGTAGACTGAACCCCGGGTGGGCCTGCTTAGCACACAGTGTGCTCAGACTGACTGGCCGACCTCAACAACGCACCACCCCTTTCTCTAGACCACTGCAGCAATCCAGTGTGCACAAGGCAGAGCATTTTACGAAGGGTGGCACAGCCGTACACGAGGTCCACACCGTGCTAGAGTGCCACCACACGGAAACACGCTGCTGTCAAAACAGGAGTGACCATTTCTTCCCAACACTGAAGCAGCTGTTAAAGGAGTTACCATGTGAAGGTGTCTCAGAAATATCGAAGAGAACAAGTGTTTGCTAAGTGGCATCTCACAGCAAGGTCCACGCCTCACGAGAGCAACCGGCACCGGGCGCCACTCCAGCACACTGGGTTAGCTATCATTCAGGCCTCTATGTAAATGCACGTACAGATAGCAGGAACCCGCACCGTTCGGTCCTTTCCAGAACAACTGCTTTAGTCACAAATAGATGCACATTGTTTCCTTTTATGTTCTAACAGTAGGAAGGAGGCCGAATAAAAATTCCAAATTACTTTTAATCTACAGAACTAAAAACGAGGCATTAACAGGCTGTTTTTGAAGGACCTTCAAAATCCCAAGAACCAGTGTATTCCACCAGACTGCTGGCGGAATGATTTATTTAAAGGTAACTTTCTAAACGTGCCTCAGGGAACACTGCCCTCCCTCAGCAGGACGGGGAGGCCTGGCTCTAAGCGTCAACACTTCTGAGCTATCTGCACACAATTGCTCAGGCAGTACCCAGCCCTTTTCCTGACTGCAGCTTTGGATGGTCCAACCAAGCTGTTCATTTGGTGGACTCTGCCCCTGACACTATCAATTTCAAGGGCTGCGTGGAGAAAGATCACCCCAAATTTCCCCTGGAGATTCTCTGCAGAAAACCATATGCTGGAATGATTTCTGTCGTGATACAGAACTGATATACTAGCCAAACACTGGAGACCAGGGGTCAGCCCGTATCAGGCCGCACTACAGCGGAGAGAAACAGGCTTTGATGGGAACAGAAGGCCTGCTCTGAGCCCTGAGCCACAGCTCTAGATACCCGGGGTGCAGCCTCTGGGCAGAGAGGAGGGTGCAGGTCGGGAGGTGTAAGCCGTGCCTCACAGGAGCCCCGCTCAGAGCACTTAGCCTCACGCGAGAGCTCTTCCTAGTCAGCACAGGAAGGGGTCACCAGGCCACGGCAGACCACAGTTAATTCACACACCGAGGTCTGCGCGTAGCTCATCTTAAAGAGAGACAAACTGATCCTAAACACAAATGGACAATTTGCCCCTGTCCAGGCTGACAGTGCTCCCCGTCGGCCCGTGGTATGCTCACGAATCGCACCAGATGCGGTGAGGCACCTTCCCAGTGTCCACGGCCTCCTGAAGGTGCTCAGGGATCTGTCTCTTTGTAAGGGATGACACACTGAAAGCAGTATTTTCATCACCTCACGCTTTTCAGGTACAGGAACAAAGGGAAATGAGACACATAAGAAACTTTTAGTTTCTGTTGGTCGTGAGCCACGGAGCACTGGGGATGTGCTGTGCTCCTCGGGACCCTGAATGCAGATTCCGTGTGCTGCACCCACAAACACGCTCACCAGGACGGTGTGCCGAACGCAGCCCTTTCTTGACCCACTTACGGGAGGGAAGGCCGCAGCCGCCTCCCGGGACAGCGAAGACCGACAACAGTAACTGCTTAGCTTTGTATACCTTGCACTGCTAGGAGCTGCTCCTCTGTGGTCCAACGGGCATTAATTTTCTGATTTGACTACAAAATTAAAAAGAAGTTTCCTAATGAGGATATGAAGACATACATTTTTCCAACTTGCTTTTTAAAAACTTTTCACCAAATCATAGACATGAGACTAATATGCTGCCTCATGGAGGTTTCATTTTCAGAAAGATTACATACATCTCGAGTTACCTTTTATCCACACACAAAAATAAGGAAAGGAAAACGCTCCCTCTTGATCACTGAACAACACTGACATTTCGCTCATTTCCCAGTTAATGTCCTATTACACACCGCAGACACTGGTTTTCAACAGGTAAGAGATCATTTTCTTCTCTTTTTTTTTTTCTTTCTCGAAATAGGGTTTCTCTGTGTAGCCTTGGCTGTCCTGGACTGTGTAGACCAGGCTGGCCTCAAACTGCCAGGGCTCCACCTGCCTCCCAGGCTCTAGGATTACAGGTGTGCGCCACCAGCCCAGGCTGTGCTGGCTTTTTTAGAGAGGGCCTGTGAATCTGATATTTCTTCACTTCACATTAAATAAAACCTATGCTTTTACTCTCCTACAACAGTTGTACAAATTAGACTGAAATGGAGGATAAGCCGAAGTCCTAAAGCACTTCTTTAAATTTCTAAAGCAGAAAATGATCCACCGATAAGACTCCCCCCTCCCCATCACAGGACTTGCCAATGTTTCTTCCAAAGTCACTGTTAAAAATACTACAGTAATCAACACCTAACCAGACTTCAGGAGTTCAGTTAGAGTCTAAAGCAGTAGAGGGTGAAGAGAAGCTGGTGTGCCAGGTCACAGATGGCCACAGGGACGCTGCCATGGTGCCTGGACCTACTGGGCGAGCAGCAGGCAGTGTCCCTTGAGAAGGGACGTCAGCTCTCAGCTCTGGGCACAGAGCTTTACACCTCCTTATGAACAAGCATTCGGAAGGAAGAAACAACCTCAGAGTCAGGCACAGAATCAAGAAAGGATGAAAGGAAGACGCTTAAAAAGATCCAGAGCAAGGAAGGAAAAAATCAGAAACAGACAAGACTGAATTCTAGGAGCTAAGAGGGACAAGCGGGCAGTGGGCAGAGAAGACCCTGCAAGGATGCTGGGGGCAGGGGGAGGAGGCAGAGAAGCACACAGCACAAGTAAGAGCTCCTTAGCTGGGCCTGGGGTCACAGGGCTGGAATGCCAGCTGTTTGGGAGGCTGCGGCAGGAGCTCACGTTCCAGACCAATGCTCATGACTAGCCTAGGCAACTTAGCCAGGCCTGTCTCAAAATGAAACACACAAAGAGGGCCGGGGGACAGAGAAGGTCCCGTCCCCACCACCTCCCTCAGTGGAAAGGAATCAACAGAACACCCAGAGCTCAAGTGGGTTCTCCGAGGGACAGCAGCACAAAGGGAGGGCAGACCCTGAACTGGTAACCAAGGGTGTTCACGGCCAGTTCCTGGAATCAGCACTGGAACCATTTAAAATGGATCCAAATGCTCAGAGCAAATGGTGGAAAAATAAAGGGCCTATTGTAGCGTCATCTGATTTAGAGAACAGGAGCTTTGTAAACTGGCCCATTCTTTGTATGAAGTTTCATGGATGACCTCATGTATGTGACGCGTGTCTATGCCGTGCACACGTGGCTGTGTGGCGGTCTGGCCTGTGGAGCTGGCTCTCCGTCTGCCTTTGTGTGTGTCCCAGCGATCAAGCTCAGGTTGTCAGGCCCGGGCTGCTGCTTCAGCAGAGGAGCCTTCTGAGGGCCATCCGTGGGCAGTTAGTGCTCCGGTCACTGCCTTCGCTCCACTGGCGGCACCTTCTTTTGACTACAGGGTGGAATGGTTATGAAAATCATGTGATTTTCAAACATGGGACTTTGTTCTCTGAAGGCTTCAAAACTTTTTTCAAGACTTATAAACGCTTTTTTTTTTTTTTTTTTTT